TCGAAGGGACCGCTCTTTGATCGAGACCCTCGGCCAGCTTTGGGACGCAAGCGCAAGGTGCAGAAGACACCACGTGCACCATTCTGGAATGTCACGCCTTTGTTTGTCAGGCTCCTGGTGATGCAGATGGCGCTCCCAAGCCAAAGACCTTGAAGTCTAAGAGCAAGGCAGGTTATGCAATACATCGACGACGGCATGTCCATATAACCATTCAACCATTGCACACATGCATGCATGGTATATGTTTATCAGGCGGCAAAAGACATCTGGACGGACAATGAGGCATGCGTTCCTTGTATCTCCACAAAACATGAAATGATGCATGAACAGACAGCATTGAACATATATTCATTGGCAGGCCAGACATCCGAGATCATCCACGGCTGCATCATCACGGAGATCAGCGGAGGACGTTCCGTGAGCGTGCATAGCGCAATAATCAAAGGGGGAGACGCGAAACCATTATCAATGTATATAGTCAATACCAGGATCATGGCAGATCTCCAGCTGACGAAGAAGAGGAGGTGTTTCAATGTGTTCTTATAGTCCTTTCTTCTATAAGGAGTGATATATAACATTGATATCAAGCCAGCACGGTTGCCAGGTGGAGGAAGTGCCTGAAGAAGCTGTGGATGAGGTGGCTTGAGACTGTGTGCAATCACATTCACGTTATATGCACTTCATGGCCTCATGTCTCATGCGCTCCATGGTTTCATGTCTCATGGTTTCATGTCTCATATGCACTCCATGGCTCCATGTTCCATGTCTCATGACACGTCATGTTTCTATAGCATTCATGGCAAGGAGCAGCCAAAGGCTGACGCATTTGGCGAGATCAATACGCCACCTCCACCGCTGGCACCACCGAAGCAAAGGCCAGTACTACCACCTGCGCCGCCACCGCCGAAGGTGCCAATCCCACCTCCGCCGCCATTCCCACGGCCGCCACCGGCGCGGCCAATGGCACCAATGATGATGGCGGCTCCCCAGATGATGGCTGCCCCGATGATGGCTCCCCAGATGATGGCTGGCCAGATGATGGCTCACCCGATGATGGCTGGCCAGATGATGATGGCTCCCCCGACGATGGCTCCCCAGCACCCGATGCAGATGCCGCCCCAGATGCAGATGCATCCCCAGATGATGGCTCCCCAGCCCCAGACGCAGATGCATCCCCAGATGCAGATGCAGCCCATGCAGCCCCAGATGAAGGCACCATGGGCAAGGGCCACGCCACATGGTTAGGAGCTGAGGTCATTCATATCGTCACGCCATGTGTCATGCAAGATGTATATACTCATGTCCTTCAGGTGTCGCTGTGCAGGGCTTCTGGGACCATCAAGGTCAGTGGTGGCCGTCGGGACCTGTGGTGAGACATGCATAGTCATGCATAGTCATTCATTCTTCTCCTGAGGCCTGGATCTGGGCGAGAGCGTCCACGGGTGCGGGGAAGGGGCGGTGTGGATGCCACGCTGCAGACGTCGGTGGAAGCAGTAGCAGACTCATTGGAAGCTTCATGACATCAAGTGACCATGACATGTTTCTCACGCTTCATGTCATTGCCCATTGTTGCTGAGTCCTGGTTTCTGGCGCGCGGCCTGCGCTGGTCTCAGCGTAGTTGTGCATTCATCGTTTTACATTGTTGTCAACTGGCATGATTGCAAGGTCCAACACGTTGGGCAACCCTGGTGAGGGGCCACCCAACGAGCAGCCGGAGGAAGAGAGTGATGTCCTCAATGTATGACTCATGCATTGCAAACATTCAGTTCATACACGGTCTAACATGGTTTCAGCTCAGGCTCCATCCATGGCTGAGCTCTTCGCATCCGAGTGTGGTGTGGGACTTCAGATCAAGTCAAATGTGTTACTCTCATCGTGAAGGTTTCATTTCATGGATTTGTGAGCGCATGTGGTTCAGAGTCACACTTGATGCAGATCGCATGTGTTCAGTCTGTATAGGTCACTTGGATTGGGGACTTGTCAGTTCTTTGGAGGTGATACGTCGTCAGTTGCATGGGATCAAGTCAAACGTGTTCCTCACTTCCCGGCCCAGGCCATTGACCAGCACAGAGGCTTTGGTGTGGTCCTTGAGATCAGTTCTCTTCAGTGAAAGTCACATATACAGATTGATACATGAAGTAAATAAATAAACAAAGCTGTTCACCATGCAACAGAAGTTTTGGACCATTCCACCCACCACATACACTCCGAAGAGTGTGTCTGGCCATGTTGCATGAAACAGTCGCGCCTAGGCCA